AAACGTTCTATGCTGAGTAAGGTGTCCATGCAAAGTCAAACCATTTGTAGAAATGTGCGTTTTTCATCAAAACGGAAATAATAATAGTAAGAATTTGCCGTTAGTTCCGAAATGCCAAGTGGTACAAACAATCGAGTGAGAATTGGAACCGCGTAATTTTGAATGAGTGAACTATTCTCTGGCCTTGTGCTTTATGCTCTATTTCAACAATTGGAGAATCTCGCACTCTGTCGGGATTAGATCAAGAATCACCTTATTGCCAAAATCATGTTTACGTCTTATAAGAACAAAAAGATCTGTCACTAATTGAATATAATCTTGCGTCTACTTAAACACATGTTTTCCTTAGGCAGTAAACGCGTAGGATTTTTTTATATTCACATAGTACATTATATGGTTTTATCAATCTATATTCGAGTAATATTTGAAATTGATGCACTTATCTATTTGTGTCTCTCTGCCACGGACTAAATCCATTCAGAGCCTCTGACAAAGCAAAAAAAAAAATATAGGAGATTTTCTCAATATACACTACATACAGGGCCCTGCTGTTTGTCCTTCTCGTGCATTAGTGACTCGTTTAGGAACTTTGTAGTTAAACGCGCGTCTAGTTTGATCTCGAAATTTTGCAGGAGATATCTTCACTTTTGCGAACGGGAGAATGTTTACCACGGCTGGACAGACGGACATGTTTAAGTGCATCTCAAATTTGGAACTGGTCAAGAGTTCATGCACTTTACGCGGATTTTGAAAATTGCCTTTGCGCGTTATAATGATGTTAAATAAAAAATTAAATCTTGATATTTTATAATATTGAGTAGACCTGATTAATTTTTCCCATATTTGTACAGATTCTACGTAGAATGTATGTTCAAATATTTGCAGATTTATCTGTTGTAGTTAATGAGTAATGAGCAAAAAACCAAGTTTCTATTCCTTTTGAAAAACGGGAGTGCTCTCAGTTCATTCGGCCGATTTGGATCATTTTCAATACCAATCTGCATGCGAGAATTTCAAATGTATCTGTCCAATCCGTTGTCGATACATGCTTAAATCGATTCAGAATTTGATACTGATTAGGAACACATGTATACTTTGTTTGTGTGTCTGAGCCTTCCTTCTGGTCGTTGCAAATGTTTTGTTAACGGGTAATTTGAGATAAAAATTTATGAGCTTTTACATTAGACGGTCTATAAATAAAATATTTGACCTGAACCAACCATTCAATAGCCCCTTTTCATGATTCTTAAAAACATCCAAGAATCTGTTAAATATTAATAACTGAGCCATTTTCTTTGAAAGTGGTGTAAACCCATGACGTAATGACATGAAACTTTCCGGGTGCTACGTAGGATGCATATCGGACGAAAACTTCTTATAACTTCCAGTTGATTGAAAACTTATTTACACTATAAGATGCTGCTGCCCTTTTGCGGGTGGAAAATCTATTCGTTTACTCTATGTGTCTAAGAAGTTACGTCGCCAGAGAGACTTTGAGCAGGAGCGTTTCCTTTCAGAGGCATTTCTGCAACCATGATTAGTGTATCTTTTTGAGCGATTACATGCCTCGTTTTGGTGCATCTTCTACAACAAGTTACGAAAAGTGAAAGTAGACAGTGTGTGTCCGAGATGCGTTCAGAGTTGAAGGAATGAATTGTAAGCGATTAATAGAATAGCAACTTTAACCTACCCCATGTGTCTTCAAGCAAATGGAACTGTTGAACGGTTTATATGGACACTTGCGTTATTGCGTCTCCTTACTCGCGCAGACCTTGTGTTTCAGATTTCCGAGCGACAGTGCAACTCTTAATTGTAATAGTAATCCGTCCGATGTCCTTTCAAAATTAACGCGAACACTGCCCTCCGGTCATTTTGAACCACTTTTGAACTATGAATGTAAATTTCCTGACCACTTGTGTGTAGTTTAAATTAGAAACATAAGCAATGACATAATTATTCCGAGCATTCTCACAAGTGACTGAAACTTGTGACGTGTGCTTTTCTTTTCACTTGGAGGTATTTTTTTGGGGGGTTTGACGTGTTATAGAAGGGCGCTGTAAAATTGAAGCTAATGGAGCACTTCACACGTGCTTGTCCAAATATTACACACACCTTCAAATTTAAGTCAATTCAGTCATATGCACCATCACACCATTAATACATAATAAGGGCTTGTATATGATGGCAATCCTCATTGTCTATAGTAAACTGTAACTTTCATTCACATACCTATCTCCTCCTCCTCCTCCTCCTCCTCCTCCTCTATATGTTTTCTCTTTAAATGTTAAAAAATTAATTTTTTTTAAAATAGAGAAATAGATGTGAAAAGACAGACACTATTTCCAATCATTTGTGTTGACACACATACATATTTTTAGTTAGTTTAGTTAGCTATAGTTAAGAAGCGAAAGTATTGAAATGAAGAGTAAGAAATTCGTTGGCCCATCAAAATGCTGCCAATCGCAGTTAGCTGCCATTGCATACTATTGCGTTGTAACGTTGCGTTGTAACGTGAGAGGAGAGACAACTTGATTTATGTAGTATGCCTAAATTAATATTCTATATATTTCCGTATAACTGTTTCTCGCACTTCCTTTTTCGGAAACATGATTTGTCAGTTGGTAAAATGCATGGATCTACACAAAGAGGCAAACATGTAGAACATGAAAGCGCAGAGATGCTGAGTAAACTCAACTAGAGTCAATTGCACAGAAACATTAAGTAACGGAATTTCCTTTCTCACTCCCGTGACTATTTTAACGGCATGAAAATTATATAATCTTTTTTCCATTCGGTGAGTGTGAAAGCAATACGCGTTACCATCAGAAGAATTTTTGTTGCATTCATGCTTTTATAGAAAACTCAAGTCGAGCATGGCATCTATATATAGCCATAGACATATATATATACATGTAGGTGTGTAAAATTGTGCAGACATTGTCGACTGACATTTAAGTTAAGCATTCCTAAGTGTTACAATTTAAGGTTGTTTGCAACATTTCTAAGCAGACAAAATGCTCACGTTTTCTAATAATTTATGCTTTTAATCGTCTTTAGCGTCATATTAAGTTAAAATATATTATAAGGAGGACTTTTAACATTAACAACTATTACTTTTTTTTTTCGATCTGAGGAATTTGTATTTCGCCCACTATACTATGGGAATATATGTATGGCGGTACAGAGGGGTTGTATTTTTGCTTGTTTTTTCCCCCGTGTTTTGATTACAAGTTTCTTTTAATGCCGGCGAGTGGGAAAGTCCCTCAACAATGTTAGTGGCTTTAGTAGTGACTTTACTAATAACTTTTTGTCAACGTTCGCAGCTATCGCAGCTATGCAGATCTAAATTTTTCCGATAAGCGAACTCTACGAATTATTGTGATTTGTTCGATGTTTTTCTTCTTTGGGCCCTTTTGAATAATTGAGCTCCATGAAATCTTTGCTCGAAACTTTTATCTGGTATTGCGTCGCAACAATTTTTTTTGAATGTTCGCACCCATTCATCGTAGCTATGCAGATCTAAATTGCCCCGATAAGCGAACACTTCGAATTATTGTGATTTGGTCGATATTCATCTTCTTACTGCATGTTACTCTCTTTTGAACCCCTATGAACCCCTATGAGTTCCATGAGATCTTTGCTCGAAACTTTCCTCTTGGATCGCATGGGGCCCACGATGTCTAATAATGTAGTGGGCAGAATTGTACAACGACTCATTCTTGAGAGCATCAATTCACTTGACATGGCATTAAGTTCCTTTCGGAAAAGTTTCTTCGTTGACTTTGTAAATTTAATCTCCATAAGAAATAATATAACAGCAATGTTCGAAAGCTCATTATGGCGAAATTAAACGCTGCGTAGTTTGTATCAATTTGCTCGGAATTCCCGAGCATAGATCACACTAAAAGTCTCCAAAATCAATATTGTTGTAAAACTACTCAGAAGAAACTGTCTCGCGTCCACTAACGCCTCGATACTATGTACCGGTAGGGCATTTCTTAGTACATCTTTTTTGAAACCTAAAACTACCTATAGTGGCCTACATTACCGTCTACAGTTCGCTTGCTTGCTTTTTAATTGCATGTATTTAAAATAGTTTTTGAAAGTTTTACCTCTTATGAGACTGGAAGATAACCTTTGCCCCTGCGCTCTTGTTCAATAACAGATTTTGACCAATTTTATGTCAGCGGAAGAAAGTGGATTTGTAATAATAAGAAAAAGCGGAAGACACACACACACACACACAGAGAGAGAGAGAGAGAGAGAGAAAGAAAGAAAGAAAGAAAAAAAAAAAGAAAGAGGGTACAAGAAACTCTCACAAGCTGATGATTTCTGTTTAGCAAGTTGTTTCAATGCTCGCTTATTGAGCAATATTTGGCCAGCAATATGAAAGGAGCTATTAGCTTAGTTAGCTAAACAAACAGTCAAGCAGACATCTAGACAGCCGATGCAATGGCTAAATGTGTAGGAATGCATACGTACTTAACAAGCTAACCAATACCACATAGAATGCGCTCTTCCTCGCTCTCATCTCTCTTTTAAAAATTGAAAAATTTTATTTTTAGTAAATTTCGTAGACGACGGCGATCCAAAAATTTTCAGTATTCAGTACATTTTCAAAAATTCATCCAATGGTATGGTTCGTATACGCACACAACCTATATCTATATCTATCGGTACAATAATAAATAGAGAACGCGGAACATAAGAATTTTTTATATTTTTCAAAAAAATTAGTCGCACAAATAGTAATAAACGACATTTCTACCAAATATACATGTATATATATATACATGTGAGCATGTGTGCAACATCAATCTTTTTTGAAATATCTATATACATGAACATAGGACATATGTGTACACATGGATGGTATAAATTTAATTAGTATGTCGGCGGTTCAATAAATTGATTGGAATTTGAATCAAAAAACAAAAAAAATTAAAAATTGAAAAGAAAAAACCCGTCGTAAGAGCTTTAGTTTGAAAAATTAGTGTAAAAATTTTGAAAAATTTATTAAAAAAAAAAAAAAAAATAAACATTTTATCCACACATATATGTATGTGCATATGTAAGTATGTACCCTATGATTGAGATTTTCTGTGGTCGCTTTTCGCATTAAAAATTTCAGTTTTGTATTACACGCTCGTTATTGTCGTTTCAATTCGTTATCGCTCATTCGCCTAAAGGAGACAAAGTTTTCAAATCAAAACGGTTTGTTTCTCTTGCGTGCTTAGCTAAAAGTTATTTTTAAAATTTTGAAAATAGAAAAACAAATCTTAAAACAACATATTGGAGAAAGAAATAAGCAGCAACCGACTGAAGGCACATAAATCAACACATATTTTCAAAGACCATCCATCCATCCACTCGCTGCATAACTAAACTAACCAACATGCAAACACAAACACAAACACACACACTCACCCCATATGTGTACATATATATAACTATAAAAAAAGGCTGTGCTTTCATTTAAAATTAATTTCCACTTTGGAAACTAATGTAATTGTTCCGAAAAAAGAAGAAGTGAAGAAAGAAAATAAAAATAAAATAAAAATAAAAATAAATAAATAAATAAAAGAAATCTGAAACAACGAATAATACACAAGGCCAATATACGATACGAACGGGAACTGCAACTATGTAAACGTACTCTTCTTCATACGTTGATATGTAAGTGAAGTTTTTGAGTGCGCGCGTGTATGCGTGTATATTCTTCTTCCGTAATACATACCTATTTTCATACGCATACATATAAACGCATATAGACATCGATATGTGCATATGTTCAAGTATTTATACTCACTAGCCGATATATATATATATATATATGCGTGTGTGTGTGTGTGTGTGCATCTCCTCTGCCCGTAATCATAAAATGTACACATAAACAACACTAAATACTTTGGTATTTGGTATATAGTTGTCATGTGTGTCTACTCACAGATGTACAAATGCGACTACGAGTGTGTGTTACTTTGTGCTTTTCGTTCTTTTTGCCAAAAAAGCAAAAAAAAAATACAAAAAAAAATAATAATAAATAAATAAATAAAGAGAATAAGAAAAAGAAATTTTAAAAACAAAATACAAAATGGCCAACGAATCGGTCATTTCCTTCTAAAGTATATCGTGCTATTTCGTTTTTCTCATTACCATTACACACGATCGATCAGTCATAACAATTAAAAAAAGAAAAAAGAAAAAAAAAAAAGTAGAAACGAAGAAAAAAAAACAAGTGCAAAATTTCCTAGACATTTGTTGTTTGTTTCACATACCTATTGTTCGACGAATAAATGAAAATTGTTTAAATTAAGCCGGTCCAGGGTGAGCAAAGTAAAAGTTACTGCGAAAACCAAAAAACAGCAAGAAAATCTTGAAAGAAACTTGACGTTCATCAATTCATAAATCGTTAAAATCTTAAAGCCGCCCCTTTCGTCGCTAATACTAAGCATTGCATCTTTAACAACTTGTATTACGTAAGCCGCCGCAGTGATCCTTTTTCGCATTAAAAGGAAAACTTCTTCTTCATAGTCAGTCCAATCAATCATAATAACGGAAATGCGACGCCGCTGTTTGCCCTACGTGCGATCTGTAATAGGAAAAGACTTTCGCTTTTATAAAGAGTTTTCATAGCATCATCAGTTAAGCGGTTTTATCTCCGGGAATAAATTTTCGGTTTTGCAATTCGTGTCGCAAAATTTCCTAAAGTATGCGTTGCTTTCTTTGTTATACATTGTCGCATTGTATGTAAATATTTCTGCGTCTCAATGTTTCGCTTTACGTTACCGCGACGAGAAAATATTCACCATATTTCGAGTTGTTCGTCATAAATTTATATATAATACGATCTTTTTATTACTTCTTGTCTGATCGTTATATTGTGTGCTGTCTAAATATTTCCAATGTAATCTTTAGCGAGTTGTTTTCACTTTTTCACCGTAAACTTTATAAAACATTTTTTGAATCGCTTTAATCATGTCTGTCCGCATGTCCGTTTAATATCTGCCCGCGTATATGTTATGTTCAATTTGCAGGGTTGCAATTTCGAAGCTATTTTGACGATATTTGCTATCTATTTTGGATTAAGGGCGAACATTTTTACAGCAATTCCTTAAATTACGTCTTTTTTCTGCTACTCCTTCTACGTGAACAAATTGTGCCATTTTCAAAAATTGTCGAGAAAAATAGAAATAAACAAACACAAAAATTATATTCCGAACTTTTTACTACACCCTTTTACACACGTTATTCTAACAAAGGATGAAAGGAGAAAAAACTGCGGGCGTGTCTGATTTGTCCCTTGCATTTGCAGAAAAAAAGTGGAAATTTATATCGTGTCTCTGTTGTAGTTTATGGGCAAAAAGCCATCTTCCATCTGCATCCATTCTCCAAACCCTCCTACTTGGCAACCATGTCCACATACCGAATTGTGAGAAAAGATTACTTCACCCTGTCGCGATATTTGGTTTTTGAGTCAACATACATAGCTTGTCGGTTTCTACTACTCTCCAAGTCCGTTTATTTGATACCCAAGAGAACTGCTACGGTCCACCATATTTATTTTAGAAGCAACGTATTTTTAGACAGCGAACATATTTGCGAATCCGAAGTGCCCGGAATAATTTTCAACATTCTCGCCCTGTTTACCTTATGAGCAGTAAACAGAAAACGCCAAAAAAATGAAAAGTTTGCTTATTTACTACTTCGCGCGGGCATTGTCCTTTCTTTTTTCTTTTCCCTTTACTCCATAAAGTAAATATAGGATATTTCAGAGATTTCTATCTAATGAAGAAAAACTCACAAATTATTGTTTAGAGAACTTGAGCTGCCTTCAGTTCACTCTCTGCTGTAGACGTGTGCTTTGTTCAATTTATCTCATTCTCAAGAACTTCCAATGGTTTCGTTGAATTTGAAGCCGATATATCCATTTTGCGAACAGTAGAGCAGTGTTTACCACAGACGGACAGAGAGACGTACATGCTTAAATCGATTTAGAGTTTGATGCTGATCAACAGTACAGCAAAGCTTCCGTCTGGCAAAAGAGAATGTAACACTCACTCGCGAGGGGAATAAAAACAGCCTTCCTATATGTAACTGTAGATTGATCACAAAAATTTGAATAGGATGAACTAATCTTTTACCTCATTTCATATAAAGTCCTTCACGCAAAAAGTAAATCTTTGCAATAAAAATCGGTTCACATTCACTATCACAAAAAAATTAAGTTTGCCAAGGTTACCTCACATAGATCTATTATCTGTTTTTCAGAGATTATGCCACGAAAAGTAACCCTCTATATGTGATTAGAAAGGTGACTTTTTTAATATCTTATAACGAAAATAGGCCAAGACTAATAGCGTCTTCTCTGACAAGAAAGTTAGTTATGGTAAATTTGGACAAAGTCAACTTCCATTTCGGGCCTGCTGCCATGAAAGGTATGCTCTTTTAAAAGGAAACGAGATTTAACTTTTCGTACTATGTCACGAAAATAATTAAAAAATTGTATTAGCCGAAGCAGTATAGTGGGTGCAGGGTGGTGGTCGACTTCTGTCGAATCGTAAGTTTTTTACTTGTTTTCCTATGATTTGTCAGCCGTTACTTTCATAAAATTTAATCTCACTACTCTTTGGTCATTACATTGCTATGAAGCATTCGATCCGTCTATTTATTCTCCTAGCGAGTAGAGACAACCTAAGTTCGAAGCATTTCTTGCACAATTTATAAAATGATTCTCTGACAAATTATGATAAAAAATTTGATAAAATTTTAAATTCAAATAAAATGCAAAGAATTATCTTTGGCGTTAATCTGCTTCTTATCTGAAAGATACTTCGCTGACATTTCATTTCGAAGAAGATACGACTCTAGCGGTGCCAGACTTGATCAACCCAATGTTTAACCGTCTTTTCGTTAATAACATGATGAGTATCTCGGCTTCAAAATGCATTCATTAATTTTTGCTAGTTGTTTATCGGCTCAAATCAGAGCCTTTTCATATTCTCAAAGAAAATTATGCAAAAGCATTATCTCACATAGTGTCCGAGACCAATTCACGGAACCATTTCGTGCAATGAGTATGAGAGTATGTGGCAACAACTCATCACAAACAAAACTCGTACTTAACATAAGCAAAATCAAGTTTTATTATATCCACCACTGTAGGGTCTGCTCACCAGGCTTTCTTTTTTTTAATATATGTATGTAACAACCAAAAGGGAACCCTATAATATATATGTATCCTCGATCAGCGTGTCTGTCCGTCTGTGTAGTGTTTGTTGCTGATACTCTCTTGATCGCAAAAAAAAAAGGTGTGGGCGTCAAATTCGGTAGAAACATTGGAAGTTTTTGTCCACACACAGGTATATTAAGTCGTTGTGCTTGTCGAGCTAATGAATTGATCGGGTATGAGTTTGGGGAATCAATGTTTTGGCAGAAAAAAAAAAAACTCGATCAATTACTAATTGATTCAATTATCATTTGCCAAGCAAACGATATTTTGGCGATAATCATTTCATAATCGCATTACTAATGTTTACTGGGTTGAAGTAGCAAAACAAAATGTCTTCTTATTCTCACCGAAGGTCGGGAAAGAAATTTCACATTTGTCAGATATTAAAAGAAAACTTTCCAATCTTTTTGTGTTGTTGTTGTTTGACTCGCTTTGACATACAATTTTCATAAAAAAATATCTCACGCGTTTTATTGGCTTTTCATACCTAAGGAGGAGGAGGATATGGTTGCATTGCATTGCATTGCATTGTTCGCAGCACCCTAAAGTAATCTGCAAGAGACTTTCTAAAGTGCATATATATGTATGTATGTATGTATGTATATATTCAATTGGGATCAATATGTGAATCGGTCTTGTCTGTTCGTTTAGGTGGCTGTCTCTGTTAAACGTTTTCCCGATTGCAAATATTCACATGTATGTAGAGATTGTTGAGCGCTCTTTCGCAAGCATGGTCTGTGACTATACGCCGCACAACATATTGAAAACTGGGAAATTTTCCTTTCATTTCTTTGCTTTTTACTCATTACTCATAAACTATACATAACTACACACACGCACACGCACACACACATTATATAAAATTATAGAATAGAAATTTGTCCGTTTGTTAATCAATCATGTCTTCTGAATAATATATCGAAACTACTGCTGCAAGTTCCTTTACTTATTTTACTTTAAAATGTCATTTCAAAGGATTTGTTAAAAATGTCAATGAAAACAATACAAATTGTCGGAGTTATGATGTGTGTATACCATTTCTAGAAATCGTGTTTTGAAAAAAAGATTTCAAAGTTTCGAGATTCAAAATACACTATAGGTATGAAAAAATAAATAAATAGGAAATGCGAGTTGAGATAAAACTTGTTGTCACATCTTCTGCGAAATTCAAAGTGTCCATGGAAGTCAAGTCAAGTATTACCGATTAAGCTATTGATTTTCTGTTTTATTTACTATAATATTTCTTCGCAAACAATTTTCCGATTTGGTTTCGTTCGTTGCACTCCTCCTCATATTTATTGCTTCATTGTTGTCGCATAAGAATGTTCATTAAAAAGCATCCAAGACCCTTTTCAGTACCAAATTATATAGTGCCTCACAATTAAAAGCAATCGCATATAAATTCGTCTCCGTTTACGGCTTAATAAAAACGCCCCCCCCCAAGACCCGCGTTAAGTGAAAAATTTCGCTCAAACACACTCGATTATCTTAAATGGAGAATTTTCAAGAAATAAAGATTTCGTGCGCATCGCAGATTTTTATTTCATCAGTTTTATAACGTTAGCTTATGGCGGTGGCGGTGGCGATGGCGATGGCGATGGCGATGTAATAAAGCAAAACTGTGTGATAACAAAGAAATCCCCGCGCTGCAGGAACAATATGCGATAGGATAGAGGGAATTTATGAATTTTATTCGCTTTCAGTGAGTCGCGTAGTACTCTTGCATTTGTGCATAAACGTCAAGTTTTGCATTATGTTGGACATAGCTTTTGGTCCAGGGAGATATTATTTTATGCTGCTCATCTCGGGACAATTTCGTGAAAAATACGATTGAAAAATAACTATTGAAAATTGAAATTATTTATTGTTTCCTGTCGGCTTTCAATGTACTTTTTATTCACAGTCCTGTCTCTTGTTGGCCGCTATTTTTCAAATCATTTGTCGAAAGAATACTTGCTATATAAAAGCTATCTATCAAACGACCCTCCTTTTTGGATCAGTGTCATCTGTTTTAGAACACGTCCTGTGGGCCGAGGTGGCCTACCTCTGAGCGTTTTCTTATCGAAAAACCATCTTAGGGCGTCTTTTTTGCATATTGGAACCACTTTCCTGTGAGTGTTTGACTTAGTAGCGCTAGTAGTTGTTGAGTCAGCAAAGATTACATCAGCTCTTCATGCGCTGCACTCACTTGTTATCTTCGGGGTCGCCGTGCATACTGGGCTTTATGTGCGCTTCACTTAGGTCTGTATCACTGTTTCAGCAACACATCTCTTCCAAATAAATAATGAAAGAGGAATAGCTGCCGCCTTTTTTTTTTCGCACAAAGCTTGACATATGAAGGAAAGGTCGAAAAAAGCGTACTATTTGAAAATTGTGCGGATCGGTGCACTTTTTCGACCGCTTCCCATATAATGCATTATTTTGAAAAAGTCGTGTGAAGTATTTAGTGGAGACCGTGGCCCACTACAATACAGAGAAAAAAAATTGAGGAATTAAGTAAGATTCTGCACCTACGGGTTTTCTCTTCTTGTACATAATTATGCGATTATTCCAGCAACTGATAAATTTATTTACCTGTCGCAAGCGTAAATATTTTATTGATATGATGGCGTTCAATAAGAAACAAAAGCTCTTATTACAAATTCTATCGCTATTACATATTACAGTCATCGCGCTGTCTTCCTTTCTTGTGTTGTTTTTTATATGCTGCGCCACTTCATTGGGACAGGTTACATTAAGTTTGCTCAAATATATGTAACGTCATGACAAATTCTTTGACAATTTTTTTTGCGATAATGACATCTTTTAGTGAAGCAATGACAATGACGTACCAGTTGAAAAAGCTTTTTTGTGTGTTGTGGTTAATTCGGGCCACGTAGATGTACTTAGGACTCCTTCCATGTAAGAGAGGCAAGCCTTTGCAAGGGAAGAAATTCAATTTTTATATTTTATGACGAAAATATGTGAAAAATAAAATCAAGGGTATGCGGATCCCTTACCTTCCCCAAGAAACTCCTCTAAGGGGTGTCAGGAAAGCAATACTTTATTGAGCAACAAGAACTTGTTTTTCTTCTTTATGACGCATAAAAAACTCATCCTTACCAAATATGGATAACATCGGTTCAGTTAATGCTGCGTTTACGCTGCCTTGTATTAAGCGAAGAGGCTTGCTTTGCGTTTGGTGGCCAGCCTTCCTGACTGCAACCTTTTTCGTTTGTTAAATCTAGGCTGAAACTCGAGAATGCATACGCCCAATTTTAGCTCTTTACTTTAACTTAGGCCAGCTGTATGACGACAGACGAGTAAATCGTGTTTGTGGACCGATTACATCAAAGTCTTTTAAAACCCTAAGTGTAAGCAAACAGTGCATTCGCCATATTTCGATTCGTTAATGTAATAACGGAAAGTTATCATATATGGCGATATTTATATATAAACTTGAGGTGATTGTAACTCGTTTGAGACCATGGAATGGCGAAAATTCATTGACTTCATTGATGTCCAAAAGACTTTTGCAAATAAAAAACATATAGAACCAGTTGTTGTTTGATATTCATTAATATTCCATATGCAGAGATGCAGCTTCACTGTAGCTAAGTCTGTAGGAAGTATTTAAAAATATTTTCAATTTTAAAGTGAAATGTATTTATGTCACAAATTTAAAGAAACTTCCTATGATAGGTTTTTGTTTCTGTACAATTTCAGTCAATTAAGATAAAAGAAACTTGCGATATAAAGTAAACATGGTTGTGGGAAATGTAGACACAAACGCCGGTGCGGCCGAAGCTAATAATGCACATCCATCTGGCATTCCACAGGATCAAATAGACAACATAATGAGTGGAATTGCAAATACAGGCGATGTCAAGATGAACAATCATAGGAAAAAATTACGACAAAGGTACGATTTTATATTTTTCACTTACGCATATGTAAATGTGTTATCATCTAGTTTATGTGTTTTCATTTAGATTTGACATAATTAAAAAACTGGGTCAAGGTACGTATGGAAAAGTGCAACTTGGTATTAACAAGGAAACGGGGCAGGAGGTTGCCATCAAGACCATAAAGAAGTGTAAAATCGAAGCCGAAGCTGATTTAGTGCGCATTCGGCGCGAAGTACAGATAATGAGCTCTGTACAGCATCCGAATATTATACATATATATGAAGGTGAGCGAGTGGTTTTGCAACATAAACCACAT